GAAGTTGATGTATTTCCTCAGCGACCAGCACGGATCAGCTCCATGCATGACGAAGCGGATATCGTCCTCTTTTGGAAGGCCAAAGAAAGTAGTTTTGCTTTCACAATGAAACACACTGCGCCTTCACGACATGGTGACAAGGTGGCAACAACAATACTACAGCGAGAATAAAAGTTACACCTTCTTTGCATGAACATTTGGGCGGCGTTATGCAAATCTTCCCACATCGTGACGTAGGTATGTGGGGGCGTGTTAGAACGAGCCGTTTTAGGTAGGCGTGGCTGACTCTGAATTTTTATAAAGAATATCTCTTTTGATTTGAGACTTTAGTCTTTGCAACTTTACAGATCTTCTTTATGCACCAATAGCTTGTAACACTCCAAAGAGAAAGGAAAAATTGAAATCGCATCATATGACCCCTTTAAGATAGGAAAACATCTGGTCCTTTTTTTTCTTAAACCCAAATCTACCAACAAAAAAAAAGTCAATTTATGACCATAGATGAGATGAGTGAAAGGCTGTATGGGTGGGGTTATGAGGCTGCATAGTCTAAGGGTTGGGCTTTGTTTACAGTTGGGTGGGGGAGGTATGACTGAAGTCTTGGGCTTTCATTATGAAGGTGGTGGTTGCTATGGAGACTGCATCCAGCCTAAGGCAGCCAGATGGCAGAGGCAGACTGTCTCCCGAGCCACGTCAGCAGACATTAAGACACAGACTTAACATTATTATACATTTGTCCGTCATGTGCGTCATGGTGTGCTCTGCCAAAAAATTTTTTTTAATTATTTATTATTAATTACTTAATTAATTTTAATTTTATATTACACTTCCAACCAATAGATAAAATATTGGTTAACATTTTGTTGTATAATAATAATAACTTTGAAAAATGAAATTTTCTATTATGCTTGCAGCCAATATATTATATACTTGTAATGATAATCTCATTTTATAAAAAATAATTTAACAAATTTAATTATTTCATCTTTAACACATTTATATATTTATATTATACTATTAAATATTGGTTAATCAAAATTTAGTTTTTTATATAATAATAATTGAATAATTTTGTGTTTTTATACTGTGATAAAGACCTATCATTCCAACATTTCTGTTATTAAATTTACAAACTGTTTATTCATATATATTTAAAGAAATTAAATACATCTCTTCAAGCATCTGAAATAAACAGCATCCAGCATTTACATGTACATGTAAAATCATACATATTACAGTTCCTAGGCTTTTTTAAATCTGACACATTCCAAAGAACCATTTTCAGTATCAGCTGTCCTATAACCATAGCATGTTGTGACATTCAATCAGTGCTTGTCCCTTTATTCTCAGTTCTTTCAAACTGATGATGATTCACTCACACAATCAGCCAAACACCCCTTCCCCCAAAACTCCACCCCCACAGGGTCTCAGGCTGTCTAGAAGGCACTTAGAGCACCTAATGCAGACCTGTGGGGACCCTATGACGTTATCTATTCTCCCTAACTAAGCCTCAATGTCTTTATCGAGGATAAGCCCCCTTTAGCTTCTCATTAGTCAGAAGCTCAGCAGGCTAAAACATTTACGACCATCAAGTAGCACAGGAGATCTTGTTATCATCACATCTACATAACACACACACACACACACACACAAAAGATAAATATAGCTGGCCTAAAACGTGAAAAATAACACCATATTTATTTATTTATGATTTAACGCCATGTCAGCAGCAGAAATAACACCATATAAAAATGCACGCAAACATCTTAGTGCATGATTGACTCCTAACTGGAACATGGTCTCTAAATTTTCTTGAAATCTTATATTGAGAATCAAATGCAGAGGTCTTACCAGCAATGACTCAAATAAAAGGCCTTCTTTCATTTATAGAGCACTGAAAACCACAAATTACATGAAACTCTCTATTCCCAATTTCATCATGTAGGCGAGTGTTTTGATCCGTGGACTGGTCTGTCATGATTTCAGACCTACAATGACCATTCAGAGGCAATTTTCAGAAACATGATGTGGTACGAGCCACATCATGTCAATAGAATAATAATAATAATAACAATTGATAATAATAAACATTACATTCTTCATCAGACAATACACTGAAAATATGTACTCTTTGAGTACACAATCAGACAAAGAAAAAATATTTTTGTTACAATTTGTGGTTTTAATGCGGTGAATAATAACCAGGTTAACCAGCAATTTTGATTGCTTAGTATATAATATAAAATAAGGATAATTATTCTTCGTCTTGGCATTGTGAATGGTTCATTTTTGCAGATACAGATGCAGTATCATCATGGAAAATGTCATGTACTGCCCCCTTGTGTTGAAGAAAGCACACTGGAGGCAAAATGTCTTAATTTTCTACTGATCTCAACACTGTTTTTAGATGCTGTGTGTGGCGAGGGGGGCATGGTTCAGCGAAGTCTGCAGCGGGAGAGAGGGACGGCAGACGAGCGGTGAGTAAGTAGGTCAAGTGCAAAATGATGAACACCTGTGTCTGATTGCAGTAATTAGCCTGGAGAGACCAGATAAAAGGGCAGACTGGAGAACGTAGAGGGAGAGAGAGGCTGGGACTCGTGGCCATCCCGTAGCCGGAGGAGGAGAGCTGATTGAACTGAGTTTATGCCCTGGGCAGATTGAGAACGTGCTGGAAGTGCCCCGTTTGTGTTTTGTTGAACTTTAAAGAAAGAAAGAAAAGAGCCACGAGTCTCCAAACCGCCTACCTGAGTCACTTCCTTCTTCCCATTACGAACTTTGTTACACTGTGTAATTGCATGTGCATTATTTTTTCTCCTTTTATAGTAGACATGGAAATAAATGTCTATTCACTGTTTCAGCAAGCAACAGTGACAGAGCACCAATCTTGTTTTCAATAAACGCAGCATGACACCTAGCATGAATGCCTGAATAAATAGAAAACGTGTTTAAGATCATGGGTCTACGCTGTCAGAATCAAGCTCTTTTGATTTTGATTCTTTTTCACGCCAACGCTTAAATAAAGACATAAGGCTGAAGCCTTCTTTAGTGCTTTTAAATGATATTGTTTGGCTATGTCTCTTCCCAGTACTAAACTGCAAGCTAGGCACTGTCTCTTCAGTCTTCGCCTCCGGCTCGACCGATTGTGATGAGTCAACAGATTGTGATTCCTCTTGAGAATTAAGTGGCTTGGTGTCTGAATCTTTAACAGTCTCTGTAGAGTTTTGCAATGTGGCAATCATACCGCAATCCACAGATTTCCCTTTTCCAATAACACCTATAGAAGGAGCCGGAGATGCGTTTAGATTACTAGGCACAAACAGATCCTCTTGGCTGGTATTTCCACAACTGGCCTCAGGAAGTGCGATTGTGTGCCGGCGATTGATGATCTGGCCATTCTGCAGCAGAGAGCTGGATTTAGATGCGTTTTCTTCTATGGTCACGATCAGCAGTCTTCTGTCTTCCTGGAAGAATGTCTGCCTGGGAGACAGGATCGGTGACAGGGGCTCGCTGGATGAAATGCTACTTCGACTGGACTGGTATTGCAAAACTTTCCGTGACACCTCTCTCATATTTTGCACCTCTGTCTCTGTCTGCACATCTTCTTCCTCCTGCACCGTGAATACAGAGACACGTTGATTGATTGAGGAATTGGCACTTTTCTGCACTGAGCTCGAGATTGTAATCTCTGGGTGCTTGGGTGTCTCATCTTTATCAACGCTCTCCTTAATCAAAGGGGATTGCATGGCACTTTTGATCCAGCTGTCTCTCTTGACCTCTCTGTTGTCAGCGGGGCGTTTCTCCGGTATGGTGGTCTCAGTAAGATTGCCCCATGAGGGGGAACTGGTCCCGGCTCTACGGCGGGACTGGCGGCTGTTAAACCTCTGTAGGATGGACTCCAGAGCAACTCCTTCAATGTCTTTGTCTCGTGAGGAGCAGGTGGCGGTGGAACGTCGTTTGGTCGCGATCTGAGTACGCTCTCGCTGTCTGCGCTTCACCTCCACCATTTCTCGTTCAAGATTCTCCTATATGGAGAAGAGAAATGAAACGGGCTTAAGGTCATTATTTTTTTTAACTCTTTTTTACCTGGTTGAGGAGGATGAACAATATCATTACAGACATCTGTTGCAGCCATTACAGAAATCATGACAAACCTTTTTTTGTCTTTTTAAAGTCTGAACACTAATAAAATACTAATAATGTAAAAAAAAAAAAAAAAGGAAATCATATTTGTTATTTAAATATTTAATATTTACCATTTATAATTGCCTAAAGTAATGACCCTGATATTTAAATGTATGTCACAAGATCCTTCATAAATCATTCTAATATCTAAATATCTACTGCTCAAGAAATATTCTTTATCAATACTGAAAACACTTTATATTTTTGTGGCAACAGTGATACATTTTAGAAAGTTAAATAGAACTAGACGTTTACATTTTTTTTAACAATATACAGTGCCATGAAAAGTCTTTGCCCCCAGGTGGCGGTGGAACGTCGTTTGGTCGCGATCTGAGTACGCTCTCGCTGTCTGCGCTTCACCTCCACCATTTCTCGTTCAAGATTCTCCTATATGGAGAAGAGAAATGAAACGGGCTTAAGGTCATTATTTTTTTAAACTCTTTTTTACCTGGTTGAGGAGGATGAACAATATCATTACAGACATTCCTGTTTTTAAATTTTTTGTGTATTTGTTACACTTAAAAGATGCAGATCATCAAACTATTTTTAATATTACACAAAGATAATGCAAGTAAATACAAAATGCAGTTTTTAAATAATGATTTCATTTATTAAGGGAAAAAAGCTGTCCAATCTTACCTGGCTCTACGTGAAAAATTAATCGCCCCCCCTCCTGTTAAATCATGAAAGAACTGTGATTAACCACATTATTTTAGAAAGCGGAGTTAAATTTCACTAACCACACCCAGGCTTGATTACTGCCAGACCTCTTGAATCAGGAAATCATTTAAATAGAACCTGTCTGACAAAGTGAAGCATGCTTATGGAGCAACACATCATGCCACGATCTAAAGAAATTCGAGAACAGATGAGAAACAAAATAGTTGACATGTATCAGTCTGGAAAGGGTTATAAAGCCATTTCTAAGGCTTTGGGACTCCAGTGAACCATGGTCCGAACCATTATCCACAAATAGAAAAAACTTGGAACAGTGGTAAACCTTCCCAGGAGTGGCCGGCCTACCAAAATTACTCCAAGAGCACAACGACGACTCATCCAGGAGGTCATAAAAGAACCCAGAACAACATCTAAAGAACTGCAGGCCTCACTTGCCTCAATTAAGGTCAGTGTTCATGATTCAACAATAAGAAAGAGACTGGGCAAAAACGGCATCCATGGGAGAGTTCCAAGGCAAAAGCCACTGCTGACCAAAAAGAACACAAAGGCTCGTCTCACACTTGCCAAAAAAACATCTTGATTATCCCCAAGACTTTTGGGCAAATATTCTGTGGACTGATGAGATAAAGTTGAACTTTTTGGAAGGTGTGTGTCACGTTACATCTGGCGTAAAACCAACACAGCAATTCATAAAAAGAACATTATACCAACAGACAAACATGGTGGTGGTAGTGTGATGGTCTGGGACCTTCAGGACCTGGACGACTTGCCATAGTTGATGGAACCATGAATTCTGCTGGATCCTCACAGAAATACTCTGCTACCGAATCACTCACGGCTGAAAGGTTTTTGAAGGCCGCCTCGGCCTCCTTTAACCTGGTGTCTGCATTCTAAAAAAAAGAACAAAGAAAAGCTAAATTGTAGAAACTCTTATTTAACAATAACATTTGTGTAAGCACATCAATAGTCAATAGACTCAATAGTGTGTTACCATATCTAGCAACTTTGGACAAAAAACTTGCATGCTCATATTCAGAGATAAACTAAATAGGTCTCGAGGACTTGTGACCAGGGCAGGACATAGGGGGGCGGGGGCCCCTGGGCTTGAGGTTATGTTTGGGCCCTATACCTACACTACAAATGCCCTCAAATAGAACATCATTATGGAGTAACACAAAATACACAAACATGTGCTTTGAGGTTCATAAATAGTACAATTAATATGCAACATGTATAAGCTATAGTCAAAGTTTAAATGTAATATTAAATATTCATTATAATATAATAAACAGGATGTGTTCTCTCAGTTGAGAGATCAAAACCCTGAAATAACTTTGACTAACAAAAAAAAAACCGCGGAGATGTTGGCTTATTAGTATTATAAAAGTTATTGTCATATCTGTGTCCTCTTGTGAGGTTCTTATTTAATCAATAAATTCAATCGAATAAAAAGACATGCTGGCTATTAACAATCAAATGAAATTACTATCAACAAAATTCATAGATGGACTGTGCATAATGTTAAGTTTAAATATAACATTTTAATGTAGAAATATTAAATGATTGCAAAAATTAAATGAGCTTAAAATATGAATCTTAAGCCGCCAGTAGGTGGCAGCAAGTGACTGTCTTAATGAGTGAGTTGAATCAACCGATTCGTTTAAAAAGCTGATTCATTTAACTTTGCAAACGACTGAACTTATAGCCTGATTGAATCATTTGCTGGTCTGTGTAACATTAAGGAACAAAACACTGTTGTTCAGAGACGTAGCGGTTCTACTGTTTGTTCTATTTTGTTTCTGACAGAACAAAACGGAATTTTGTGTCTGAAAGTTACTCTGTAAGTTGTTGTTTATTGTACATTTGCGATCGTGCAGATATTAGAGAAGAAAAAAAACAGGACTCTTGTTTGTGTGATAGGCTATAGTCCTATATCATGTTATAAAAACAGAAACTCATTAAATTGCTATTTTTTATTTAAAATCATTTTGATGACATTTCTTCCCCACTATGTGTAATGGCAATAACGAGAGAGAGCGCTCAAAACTCGTCAGATGATCGCATAATATAGTGGAACATTAATAGGCTATAGTAATAAAGAATCATCCTCTGTAAAGAAATAAGGTGTGAACATTTGAGAATTTATCCGGTTACACTTTACTTGAAGGGGTGTGCATAAGACTGACACATAATACATTTTATTGTTAAAATCAGTATTGTTAACTACAAATATAAAAGGATTTTTTATAAAGTTGGAAAATATATATGAATATAAGATGAAATGCTTAAACTTAAAACAATTTGAAATGTTGCTTTGGCAGCTAAGTGAAAGATTGAAGTACAAGCACTAAAATTTCTACAACTAAAACTGATATATAATTAATATTTTACTTTAAAGCTTAAGAGAAATATTTTTTTTAAATAAAAGCTATTCAAATTATTATAAATACCATAATTGTATATAAAGCACACTAAAATAACACAGGTTTTATTGTTAAAGCTTTATCAACAGATTTTTGTAACATGTGTGTTTTTATAATCAGCTACAATTAATTTAAAACATAAAATAAATTAATTATAGAAAAGTGCAATATTTTTTCAAACAGCAATTTGTGGCCTACCTTGCTGCATCTCCAATGTGCTGTAGCTGCTCTGGGAACTTCAGTAGCGATGCATCAATCTTCTGGGCTTGCTGTGGTAACAGACACATGAGAAAATAATTTAAATGGAAATAAAGCTATGTTTCTTATGTGGCTCTAGCATCACAGTTTAATATTAAACATCA